CTTCAGCTCCTAAAAATACACATTTGTATTATGTATTCTTGCTATAGATATCCATTTCCATTTAGTAAATTTTTGAAGTTCAACTAACGGAGGAAAACGCAGCCACAAAAGAGGTGTATTTCAGAGTTAACGTGAACAAAGAACATTTGAAGTTGGTAATTGTGATTTTGCTCTAACAAAGTGGCTTAGAGTAAGACAGAAATATTTTTTTCAATTTTCAACAAGATTAGAGTAATTCAGATCACATATTCCCCTTCACAATATATAGTCTGTGATGGAGTATTGTCAGAAAACTGCACTTGCAAAAAAGTGTGAGATATCTTGTGTATCCCTGAGCTGGTGTTTTTCATAATGATTACTAATTCACTGCTCTGTTAAATGCAGTAGGTCAGGTTAGGTGAATTTTTATTCAGAAGAGTTTTGGCCTACAACCAGTGTTTTGGCTTTGTATCTTCTGCGCTGTGTTGCCTTCTTTTTCCTTCTTTTTTTTTCCTGTTCTTTGCTTTTACCTGTCTTTTTCCAACAAGATAAGAAACGAATGACCTCTTTGTTCCCAGGTCCTAATGCCTTGGTATGGAGCTATATTCACAAATCCCCAGACTTAGACATATTCTTGCTGTGTGTTTTCTTTCTGGAATGAGAGTGTAATAACATAGCTTGTTTAGCTTTTGCTGGTTCTAACAGCAGGCAGAAGAAAGCTCTTCTTAATGTTTTTGTATTAACAGTCAATTCTTAATAGCCTTGTGTTCCCCACAAGACTAAAAATAGTAGTCAGAGTAAGCATCCTTCTGGATTGTATTTGTAGAATTGAACAAATGGTTGATATTACCAGTTGGTAACATATGACACCAACATTAAAATGCTGGCATATATTAGCTATAACCCCGTTTTGTGAGTGATCACTCTATTACGCTTTCATTGAGTATTCACATACTCTTTTCTGTTAAAATCTCTTACCACCTTTGATTCAATGCCAGATTTTTTTTTTTAGCCTTTTCCTTGCTTACCCGTTTTTAAAATGCAGCCTATGGCAGTAAAACTTAAATATTCCTGAGGCCTGAAGGTACTGTCACCCTTTAAACGGCATCAAAGCACCAAAATTACCTGGAGGCTCAGCCCAAGCCTTCCCGCCAGCTGGTTTGGCCGGTCCCGCTGCCATTGTCAATTCAGGTATGAGTTCAGCGAAAGGGAACGTTTACTTTAAGCCTTATCGCCAGGGGGATACAGAGACAAAAAAACAGATTTTACAGACAAGCCAAACATAGACAAATCCCTTTTCAAATTGTTTAGAATATTTGAGGAATACCTCTTACCGCTTGCCTTTCCTTCTGGCTGTTGTACAGGTTTGTACACCCTGAAAGTAACACCTCTTTCCTCCAGGTTTAGTTCAGGCACGTGTAGCAAATTAAGGACAGAGTTTACTAGATGCTAAAATCTGCTCATTTATAGTTGCAGTTCACATAAAAAAAGAGGGTTGATGCACCAGTTGAGTTACAGTGTTTGATAGCAACAGTGAAGCTCTGAGTTTATGAGGTTTCATAAGGCAAATGGTCTCAGCATTTGGTGTGAGGTGTGGTCTTCACGGAGGGGAGATGTGCCCGGTCGAGTGGGCTGGACGGTGCAGGATCTAACCACTAAGCGAGCACTAACTCAGCAATCAGTGCTGGTTCTTTGCCTGTTCTTTTCTAAATGTGACTGAAAACCCAAAACCTGGCTATTTGTGTTTTAAGAAGTCAGTGCCACACAAGGAGTCAGCTGGCCATATTCCTGTCTGTTTAATTATAACCTGTTTCAACAGAACCTTCTCGCAGCTTTGACTGTTAGTTTTGACTGTTTCATGCAATAAACTGTTGTATACAATATGGCAGTCCAGAACTGACTGTGTTTGGGACAAATGAATTGAATCAGGTGTGTGTGTGCTCACTGTACTGTAGCTTGTAACTCAGCTAAAGTATGGACTCATAAAATAACCAGTGGGAAATACCAAGTTTTGGGTAGTTATTGTTGATTTGATCAGTTTCCAAGAGGTGGCAAACTAATATGGCACGTGGATATTCATTTTCAGTTTCTTAGACATTTTTTTTTTCCTGGCTATATGGCTGTGGATCTTTTATTTAGACTGTGAGGCTGCTGTTCATACATCTGCAAATTTTAGCTGAGTGAGCAACGCTAGCCAAACTGTGCTGGATCAAACCTCCAAACAAGGTGTTTTGGCTTGTGGAGACATTTTACTACCACGGTCAGGTTAGAATCCCATCTGCAGGACTGAGCTGCACATCTCCATATGATTTCCCTGTAATCCCTTGGATAAGAACGTGTATTTACTGTGGAGCCCCAAAGAGCTTAGTTAGAGCTGAAGGTGTCCAACCTGCTAGATGTTGTGCAGACCTACAATCCCTCTTTTGGTCTCTCAGCATCACCCCATCCTTCCCCTTAATTTTCCTTCAGGTTTTCTTACGTCATAACTTCCTTTGACTCCAAATGGAGTTTGCATACTTCAGCTGGATGGGATGGGATAGGGTGGGATAGCAAGCTAAATACGCAGATCAGATACGAGCACAGACTTGATAGGGACCCTCTTTTTGCATCTCTTCCAGTTTATTTCCAGATGTTCTCATGTAGAGGCACTGTCCAGTTTTCCCCTTCCTAGAGCAATTTCTGATGATATATCCAACATTATTGCCATGGTTTTTCATGCTACCACAAGAGCTCTAGCTCTTGAATCTTAGCACGGTGGTGCCACTGTTTCTGCTGAGAGCTTTCTCTTGCAACATGCAATAAAATGTCATAGGTCGAAATAAATTTAAAATATGTTCAAGGGAAAATTCACCACATGTACTTGACTGTCAGGGTTTGGGGATTTTTTTTCCCCTTTTCTAAGTGCTGAGGCATATTAGAGATTTTTATGGGTTTGAGTATGTTCCAGCATTGATACTGTAGCTCTGGAGGAGTGCCAGCAGGGAGGCTTACAGAGTATCAAGTTTTATACCATCTTATGTAATGTTTATGCGGGTGGGATATGACATATTGAAATTCAATTTATTGAAATTATTGAAATTATATTCATACTGCCCTGCTGCCAGTGGGGCTGAAATGGCTATGTTTTGTGGCATTCCTCTTCAGACAGACTTAGACACTCAGGCATGATAGGTTTGCATTAATGTTTTTGTTTTCTCCTGCACCTATTTTCACTGGTGAACTGCTACTGTTAAACTAAAAGTCTACATTATGCAGCCATAGGCATGTAAATAAATAAGAGAAAGGGTCTGAGTTCTTAAAAATAATGAAAATTTATTCAGGTTTGCATTGGTGGTTGGGTTTAGTTTCTTTTCAGAATAGGCAGTATCTATTTCTCTCATTAATCCTTTCATTGCAAAACTCATGTTACAACAATGTACAGAAACCGCTCTACATGAGTTATGTCTTTTTGATTTTATCAGTCTAATTCAATCAGTGTGAATACATTTACATCTGTATAAAGCTACCCTGTACAATAGAGATTTTTCCTGTCTAAGAGACAGAAAGAAAGACGTGTTTGCTCTGAGGTCACTCTGTTGCCATGTGAGAGGTTGGTGATACCAATACCACCATGCTGGGGGAAAGATGTGTGAGAGGAGCCACTCTCCTAGCCAAAGTAGTATTTGCAGTAAAAAAAAAAAAACTGTGTCAAGACCAAACTATAAGTGAATATAAATGTAGCTTTTTTAAAGCGTATTTGCTACTTGAAGCTGTTTCATCTTGAAGAAAAAATCATTTACGTATTTCACAAGTCTTTACTGTAGAGGTTGCCAATGGCAACAAAGGTCCCACTTTTTTGGCTGGGCATGTACTCACCTTATCTCATGCATCTTAACAGCCTCCTGAACATCAGCGAGAAGTTTGATATGCATTGCTGGTGGGGTCATTGAGCCTTCTTCATTACAGTAACCTACCATGGAGCATCCAGTTCATAGTTATGGTCGGAGGACTGCAGAGAAAGTCCCTTTTCGGACTAATTCTTGCTTAGCCATAAAGCAGGTGGTGGTAAACTGTTCTTTTTGTTCACTGTGGACAGAACAAGAATGAATGGGTCTAAATGGCAAAAAAAAGAAATTTAGGCTAGAGAGCAGAGAAGCCTTTCTTGCTGGCTGGGGTGGTTAAGCACTAGATGGGTGTGGTACATCCATCATTAAGGATTTTTAAGGCAGGTCAGACAAACAGTTTTCAAGAACGGTTTGAGAAGACTAAATCTTGCCCTGGGCAAGGAGAGGAAAACGGGTAATCTGTTCTCCTCCAGCCCCATTTCCTCTGATTTTTTAATAACTAATTTGATGCCACTTCATGATTATTATAACTAGCTGTGCTGTCCCTGTGTATTTTACTGATATGTTCCTATACGTGATTCATTTTGCTCTTGCAGCCCATGCAGCGAGGAAATAATGATAACAGAATTTGTTAATGTGTAAAGGAAAAATATACCCCTACTTAAGAGAGGATTCAAATTCTGAAGGGCAGTTCTGACATCTTCTTTTACTTTTGTTTTTCTGTATACAGGATTCTCAGGTGTTTGTGACACATCTGTTTTTAACATCGTTGCATAACATGTTTGGCAAGTGCTGGAAAAATATTCCAGCTTTTTTTTTTTTCTTTAAAATTTAAAAAATCCATTACAGGATTCAGCTTTTCAGTTAACAGGATTATACCGTAAAAAAAAAATTATTTAGACAATATTGCAGTTGAAATAGACTGAAGAATTCTTATACATGTTTTATTTGTAAATAAATTTGGAAATTTGGAAATTTAAGAAGCCCACCCTATCTGTTGTTCTTAAGCTCATCACAGTATCTAAAATCAATTTAGCAAGAAGATACTTAGCCAGTGCTTTGAAGCATCCATACATAAATATTGCTATGTCATTCTGTTGGTTGGGATTATGTTACTTGCTGAATGATTGCTACTCATTTTTTGCCAGTATAATCAATAAAAGTGACACTGAGAAATCTGATCTTTCTTCTCTGCAGACCAGCTTTGGGTGGTCTCCTTACATCATCTTTTCGGCAGCACCAGGAGTCCTTGGCAGCAGAAAGAGAAAGACGACGTCAGGAGAGAGAAGAAAGGTTGCAAAGGATAGAACGTGAAGAAAGAAACAAATTCAAGTAGGAACCAAATTTGCTCTCAGTCTGTTGCTTTAATGTATGACGGATTTGTAAATCATTAAGACATTCAATTGCAAAATAATTAAATTGATGGATAGTTTGTGTATCTCTTTAGATACCTTTCTTGATCTAAGTATCTTAAGAACTGATATGTTAAACACATCATGATGAATTTTGGCATTTAATAAACCAACAATTTTTTTTAAAGACAGCTATGTATTTGCCAATTATACTGACTGGATATCTGCAGAGGCCAGGTTTTATTAGCTAATATACTCCTCAAAGTATAGTCTCAGTGAGGTATAGGGTTTGAAGATGAAACAGTGGGAGGAAGGTATCAAGAAGAGAGGAAGGGACAGCACTGAGACATCTTTTTGCTTCTATCTTCTGCAAAGTAAAAGTGTTTTGCTGTCTCAGGATACATGGTAGTGTTTTTAAACTACTTTTTCCTGCTTTTCTGAACATGTGTCTCTTCTTCCTGGAAACAGCAGCTGACAGAAAGTAATTATCAAAATTATGGCTCAAACCATGGCCAGACAAAGGCCCCAGCTGAATATAGGACTCTCCATTTTCACATCTGAGAACATGTTATATGCCATGGGATCCCAGGGTGTGCTGCCTGAGGACAGTAAGAGACTAGCCCTCTCCTCCTGTTAAATCCATGCCTGGAAATCCCAGCACAGACTTTAGCAAAGACTGCAGTGGGCTTAGGATAGATAAGGAGCCTATACATGAAGTGGTTTGCCTACTGTCTGCAGAGTGTACACTAAGAAACCAGTTTGTTTCCTGGTGAACGGAAGAGAAAAGTAACCATATTTTTAGTAGTTAGAAGACATAACGTAGTAATCTAAAGAATGGTAGGATAAATGTTTCGTAGCATTAGAGTTGGTGTTCATGGAAAAGATGGCACTGGGTTTCTTGTGAGCTTGTTTATTAGTATGCAGGATTGTTTTCACTGTAATCATCTCTTTAGTAAGAAGTGGAAATGGTCTGTGACATAGTGAATTTGGAAAGAGGAGTAACTTACTAGTGGTTATTTGGTTGGTTGGTTGAAGGAGATATTCTCCTGGCTCCAGAAGATAGCTAGTTTAGAAGAAAATGAGAGGCGTAGGGAAGGTGGAAGAGCACCATAATAGGATCTTTGGCAGCCAACAGCTGCCCAAGTTCTCCTGAAACAGAAACAATCAGGTCTCAGTCTTCAAGCTTCTTCCAAAACTCTCCCTCTAAGTGGTATCATCAGGCTGCAGCAGGCTGTCGTGGACAGCCAACATGATCTTTCAGAAAGGAAACTCCCAGACTAAAAAAGCCACCAGGACATTTGGCAGCTTGACCTGTTTGAATAACAGATCTGCACATTTCACTAGAGGTTGGCTACAGTAGTTGTTCTGTCACTAAAAGAGCTTCCTTAAAGTCAGAAAAACAAATTTTTTTAAAATATACATCTTCATCCCATTACTCCAGAGTCAGAAACTGGTTAACTAAACGTCATGATTGTGTGGCATACTTAATATGACAATTTTTCAATGCCCAGTATTTTCATCTTCTAGATTTGAGCTCCCTGGTCACCCAAAAGTTATAACTCGTGTTTGAGTAGAGGGTCTCCAAAGCCACCAAACTTCGCAGACAGACAGCATCCCACGGTTGATTAAACAGTCTGGCAGGAGGAAGACAAAGCCACAGCAAACAGTCATGGACAGTTTCGTAAGAGTTCTTGGGATTACATTATCGTATCATCAGTCTGGCTAGAAACCCAGTCTCTGAAGATGTATTTTTGATTAAAAATAGCACTTGCAATTCACAGCCTTTTAACTTGTGAGCAGTACTGGATTTACCATCATGACTCATTTGTTATCTCTCTCTTTCCAAATCTGCCTTGAGAACATTGCACTAGGTTCTGGCACCATTATTGACAAATTGAGGATAATTTAAAGGAGAGCATCACCAGTTGTGAAAGAGGCTGGTTTTAGGAGAGGTGTTAAAAAGCTTCATAAGCTATTGCTAGCAAAAGGAATGCTTTACATAATGAACATTTTTCTCAGTAGAAGGACTATTGTACCCATTGCATGTGTATAAAAATCTGTCCTAAAATACAAGCGTTATTCTTCAGCTGTAGGGAAGGGTGAAAGTTGTCAGAGGGGAAAGAGGAATGTTAAAATTTGCCTGCTGAAAAACTCCTAGATTTTTTTTTTTTCCCCCTTGCAGTTATTCCCATAGCTATTGTAATTCCAAAGAATACTCTGAAAATATGATAAAAGTATAACCAGTTCAGGGATTCAAAGGATGTGGAGACAGCCTGAAACAATAATGTGGGTTCCCTATTAATGGACTTTTGAAGAGCACTTGCAAGCAGATGTTTGATAGCTATTGGTATAGTAGATAATAAGTAATTCATTTGATGACACAATATAAAGAGGAAAAATAAATGGAGTAGTTCTGAAAATCTTTGTGGTACTCACTGGTTACTCTGTGGAAGAATCTTAACTCATAAGGTGAAAGTCTTACCAGTTTTGTCTACGAGATTCAACAAAATATTAAAAATACATTGTAAGGAACTGCATTGCTGTGATATTGAGGCAGGCTGGACGTTCACTGGGTTCTGCTGTGCTCCGAGTTAAATTTACATCCAGATTTCTGGATGTGACAGGCCTGCCTGAAATCAAGGGCTCAGGTGTCCAGCAAAGTTGACTTGGCAAAAGCTAAATATTTGAGTTACTTGAGGAGCTGTGGGAGGGGCAGCTGAAGGGGCTTGTATCTAAACCTCAGGGTGAAAAATAAAGAAGTGGAAGGTTGTTACATGTCCCATGATCCCGCACGCAGCTTGTAAGACCAAAGAATTGTTCTACTCTGTAATGCCGTTCACTGTCCCGTTTCCAATCATGGCAGCTAAAACAGACTGAGGAAAGGTATATTAGAAAGAGGGCCGATACGGTATGCTCCCTGCCTTGGTCTCGCTTGCCAGGTGCCACAGCCACTGTTTCAGAGCATTCTAGATGGAGCAAATGAGGAATGGTTTAATAGCCACTAATGTGCCTGCTCGTTATGGATGAGTCCGGTTCATTGTATCTAATTTCAGATACCAGGTTTCAAAATGTGCTTCAGGCTCTTCACTTTTTCATTTTTTTTTTTTTATAATTACTTGTAATGACATTCCGAACTACATATTTGGTATACACATACCTGTGGTGTATGCATGGGTAAGTGTACACACATACTTTTCAGCCTTTTTTACAAAAACAAACTAATAATTTTTGTCAACAACAGCCTTCGTTGTCTCTGATGAGCTTGTTTGTACTGCTCTTGGTGTCTCCTACTGTACTTATACTTCTGTTACTTACCTTATTCTTGTGGTTTCCTCTGCAATTTACTGCAATTCTCTTTTTAGCCGTGATTATTTAGACAAAAGAGAAGAATTAAGACAAGCAAGAGAAGAGAGGTTTGTATACAATGCATCCATCCTTTGGTTGTTTGCACTTCCTATATTCTTTACTGTGGAGCTGTCGTGTATTTACATTTTTAACTCTGCATGCACAGAACACTTTTATTCCAAAAGACTTCTGTAAGAAAGCAGTTGTTTCATTAAAGAGGAGAATGAAGTCCAGCTGTAAGCACAGCAATAAATGAAGAGCAGTGGGACTGGAATGCATAAGAATGATTGATGATCTATCTTTTATCTGTTTGTGTGGGAAATAAGCTTACTCCATTTGCCTCAGAAATTTGCCCAAATTTAGCACAGTTATAAATTGAATAAGCCTGTGTTTCTCACCCAGTGGCTCCCAAGCTTTCTGGAGGGTCAGAAAAGGCAACTGAGGATAAAGGAAATTGGGGTCAGAAGCACTGAAAAACTGTAGTCACAGGCTGATGGAAACGGTTCTGATCCACTCCCAGCGTATTTTTATCTTTCAGGGCCAAGTTTTCTATGCTGGTCTGTCTAAACATCAGCAAGTAAATTACAAAGCTTAGCAGTGTTTATCATTTGGGCATTGATTTAGTTTTATTTAAATAGCATATTTAAAGGGACTGAGCTTTTTTTTTTTTTAATTCAGTTAAATAGTTTACAAAATCAGGGCTAGGCTGGGAGCTGTGTGCTTATGAAAGCACGTTTTTCAAGGAATACTCGACTAAAGACCTTTGCCTTTCAGTAGCTTCATCTCTACCTCCACTAGTAATTACACCCAGGAGGGAGCTCTTGTTTTTACCTGGAAAATATGCACATTACTGAACAAATAGTAGATGAAAAATCATCCAGATTGCTTCAGTTCTGCTTTTATGGGTCTCTAGAGGTTACTCTCTGGACATACTTTTGGATTGTCAAGAATTGGAATTACATTATCAGAGTATGAGAGCAGCCATCTCAGAAATAGTTGTGTCGCTGCATTTTGGTTTGGGTGGTTTTGGTTTTGTTTTTGCTTTTCACAAAACCGTCATACAGGAGGCAGTTCATTTCTGCAAATGTCTGCAGTCTGATCTATTGTGGCTGAAGTAGCTAATATTAAAAAATTATTTTGACATCTCTAAGAGTGAGAAAAGGTGGATGGGCTTTCTTTTCTCCAGTCAAAACAATTACAAATAGTTTGAAGCATTTTCTGAAATGAAACGCGTCTGAGAACGTAAGCATCATACACTGATCTTACCTGAGTAAAACTTTTTACAGCAAGCGTGCTCGTCAGCCAGATTTGAAACAAATTAGAAGCAAGCCTCCAGCACTTTCAAGTTATAAGGGAATATGCCAAGTGAACTGGAGTATTTTGGGGGAGGTGTTCACCAGCAGGGCATCACTGCTGTGCAGTCTGAGACAATTTCACTGGTCATTAGGAATGTGTCTTTATCCTTAGGGCTCTTTTGAACTGAAATGTTAAACTATCCATTCTTCCTCATAAAGAGGAAAGACACATGTTTGCTTTGACAGCACATAAATATTGGAGAAAACTTCTGCAAGTGAAGTCTTGCATCAGTAGTCCATTACTTTGGCCTTCTGTAACTATTTTTTTTGAACAAACTCCTTTGCACAAATGAAGTTTCAGTTCCTATAGCAAGTTGCATGTCCACTTGTTTTAAGAGAATGCACAGACTGTGAGAAAATGCTATAGCTAAGGTGCTAAAATCCTAGTTAAAATCTGGATTGTACATTTCCTCCGTATCAGTTTGGGAAGGTAGAAGGTGATAATATTGAGCACATAGGAAAGTCTCTATTAAAAGCACTGGTTTGTCTAAATTCTGTCAGGTCTTTGGAACATTCTGTGTACTATAACATCACCCTGGAGCTCCAGAGTACAGGCACCCACTTTTCCAGTGGCTCTGGGGTGGCCTCAGTATGAGGGAGAAAGATTCCTGCAGTTTCAAGGGGTCTGAGTGTAACTCAGCACCATTCATTTCACGTGTTCTTGCTGTTCAATGATTTGAGGCCTTTTTTACTTTGCTTGGTTGGGTGTTCTCCAGTGGTAATTTAAAAATAAACCCAAGAAAGGTGATCTCCCAAGCCCTCTCTAATGTGATTTACAGCTCAAATTCTCTCAACCCTGTGACTTTTTTGGTACATAAACATTTTAAGTCACCCTCAGGGCGTTGCTCAGAGACCTAGAGAACTCGCAATGATATTTTCATCTACTTGAAGATGATAAGTGGAATGTCATGTTCATGAGGTATACCAAATGGATAGCCCACAGACTTTTGGCTCTTTGTCTATAGAGAAGAGTCGGCATAGGCATGATGATGTCTGCAGGTTTCCATGATTTAAAGGAATATGGCAGTATATACAGAAGCAATGTGTCAATCCTGTAGTGAAGGAGCTAATTGCAGCAGAGGGATGGTAGCTAATCCTTTCAACTCCTTCAGATTTTGGTCTTCATGAGACCTTGTGTATTTGATGCTGGCATTCATTCATTGTTAAGACATTGGGCAGAAACAAAAAATAACCTAAATAAATGTCACTTATCAAGTGTGAAGTGTTAATAACTGATTCTTGAATGATTTTCATTTCTCGGTTAAATGGCTATATCTGGTTATTAGGCTTCCCGTTTGATAACTAGTTATGCTGATGTGCTGCCATGAGTGTTGCTGTTCTGGTTCCCTTTTTTCTTTCAGTATAATGAACAGATACATTTTGAGAAGGCACATCTTGATGATAGTCCTCTGCTTTGCTGGTTGGCTGTGCAGCGCACAGCTACAGAAGCTAAAATGTTAAAGCAGCTGAAAAAGAGCTGAGGACAATAAAACATTGTAGCTCCCCCCGTTACAGAAGGATCCATCCAGATCTTTGTTGTAGTCTGTTGGCAAACTGCAAAACCCTCCTCGGCGGCAGCCAGCTGGGCTGTACCTGTTTGAGCTAAGTGATCAGTCTGAATGGCTCTTTATGACTCTGAAGTCCCATCTGCTCTACTTGTGAGGAGGCGGAAGGCGCAATACGTAAGTGACCAACGTCAAAAGAAAGACTGGCTTCATGAACTGTAACAAACCATTATGCTAATGCCAGCAAAAGGCTTTTTCCTCTATTGAAAAGGCAAAAATCATTCTCGAGAATTGGCTTCGTGTTAAAACTGTAAACAGTTCCTATTTTATAACCATACAAGTATGTGGCTTGTTATATTTTCATCCAGAGTCTGTAGGGGTTCTTTTTCTTGCAGAACTTGTTCAAAGCCTGTGCATACCTCTAGAGGAATAAAAGAAAATGAGTTTGTTCTTCATTATTGCTGTTTGCAATAAAGCAAATTGCCCCTGAAAACACAAGGACTGCTCTTCAAAGACACGTTTCTATGCTCTATATGGATGTTTGCAAACGTGCATGCGTGTGGCTACCATATGTACTAAGCATGTTTGTTACCACATACGGCTGACTTCTTTACCCTGCCTGCTTTTAATGCACCCTTGTACACTAATTTGGGCTGTCAGTGAGGCAGAAGGGGGGAGGAGAGGTGTTCCCTGTTACGAAGTGTTTACAACAGTGGGTTATAGGAGGATGACCACAGTGTTGGGGGGACGTAAGCAGTAGTCTTGATTAACCTGTTTAACAGTTCACTTGTGGGTAAGACAAACAGTCTAAAGCCCGATCCAGCTGTATTCATGAATTTATTCCTTAGCAAATAATGGTGGATAAAATTAGCAGACATCTGGAAGAGGCACATATTTCAAAGTTATTTTGGTCGAAATGTATAAAGCACACTATGAAGAATATGATTGGTAGCTGGTCTTAATAAACAGTTAGTGAGTTCTGCCTGCCTAAAATGCAAAACAGATGTATCTTTGTTCTTTTAAAGTGACTTTGATGAATAAACTACATGTGACGTCAGGTCCAAGCTATTGGATGTCTGAGTCCGGCAGAGAAATTTTTTAGAATAAAAAAAAGAAAACTTTCCATTGTAGACTCTGGAGAGAACAAAGTGAATTCCAGTGCATTGCTCTCAGAGCAAATAGAAGCAGGTTCAGAGACTTTAGATAATCAATCCAAACATTTATTATTGGTATTGTTTTCAGGGAGATCTGTTTTTGTCTGCTGCACTGAACCATTTTCCTCTCCTTGCAGCAAGTCTCAGACTTCGGCTATTTGCATCAGTATTAAAGGGCTCTGGCTTTGGAGGTCTTTTTTTTTTTTCTTTTTTTTTTTTCTTTTGGTTTTTTTTTTCCCTCTCGTTTTAGTTTTGGGAGAGGGAGGGCTGGGAGGAGGACGAGGAGGTGAAGGAGGAGGGTGAAAAGGAGGACAGACAAATGCTTCTAAAAGGAGAAGGACTATGCAGACACGATACTATATCTAAGGACTCTTTAACTCTGCTGTTTTTTGCTTATGTTTTGTCATGAGCAATTTAATGTTTTTCAGGGCAATAGTCTTTGCTTTGGTGTGCGTTTTTTGGCAGATTGACCAGGCAGGCAGTTTAGTGCTGTACCCCTTGTGTCAGGAAGTCAGCTCTTTCTCTGCAGGTGTTTCATCCATAAACAAGCATCAGCCACAGACTTCTTTTTCTTTACGGAAACCCTCTGGAATTTAACTTTCAGATACAAATACTTGGAGAGGTTGGCAGCGGAGGAGTATGAGAAGGAGCTGAAGAATCGGAGCATAAGCCGAGGCAGAAGTGAGCTGTCCTTGAACCTGAGATCTCCTTCAGCCCCATCCTCGCCTGTACCCAAGTGCGTCAGCCCAGCAGAGTCCCAGGAAGAGCTGAAGACCCCCTCCACCCCTTGTGGGACCCCTCAGCCCTCAGAAGGTAAGTGAAAAGGAGGGCAGGGGAAAGAGCCATGGTTTATCACAGTTTTTCTCGGGCTAGCAGTGATTTTTGATGCATGAGTGCAAGAATATAACCTCTGAGGTGCCAAAGTAAAGGGTCTTATTATGTTGTTTCATGCTGTCTTCCTAAATTTCCTCTTTTTTTCCATACATTTGGATGTCTTCTAGTCTATTCAAGCAAAGAATACACTGCTAATTGTTGCTATGATTTATATTATCATTGTCTGTTGCTATTAGAATGGAATAATTGGAAAATACAGCATACAGAGGGTCTTAATTTTAGCGTCATGTTCCTTGTATATTAGAAGTTACTGAATACTAAACCAACAATATTCCTGCCAACAGATTTTGCTTATGTGGTTTCTCTGAAAGAAATGCAACAGATGAATGCCAAGATTATAATAACCTTCCAGCAGAGCACAGGCTGAATGGGACAAACAGAAAAGGTCTTGAATTGAAGGCAGGGAGAGTGTGTTGGTTATTTTTAACACCAACAAAAACTCTTAAAATTGTAGCACGAAGCAGTAAAGGACTTAAAAGAGACCACAGACAATTAGTAAAAAGGAAAGTATAATTAGTGTTTCCACGGTTGGTTTGCTGTCATATAATTTATTGGTGTACAAAGCAATATTTTTTGTGTGTGCACGTCATTCTGCCACTTGCATCACGTACCCCTCCTTCAGTCCTCAAAAAAACACCCACCATACAGATTTATATTTGCACCACATGATGTTGCATTAACATTGGGAGCTAGAATGCATGTTGAGGGTGAATTATCGCCATCATTCATTTTTATTTTATTTGATTTCCTGCTATGTGCTATTGGTGATTAATGCATTTGTAACTTGCACTGCTTGATTTTATGGAGTGTTATGGCTGGTAGCATGCTATAAAGCAAGGCAATTTAAGAAAAAAGTTACAAATACTGAACGTTGCATATGTTTATCCTCACCGTACTAAGTAGGTGAAGTTTATTTAATTTAGGTTTATGTATTTTCCCAGTTATATTCCCAGTTTTCTTGTCTGGCACCGTAGAGGTCTCAGTGGAATCATTTGAACTTAAAAAACATGGATATTTTCCTGTAACACTGATATTCAGAAACATCCAGATGCCCATTTTTTTGAGTGCAATATTGCTTTTAGGGCAAATAAGCTGGATTTTTCCACCATTAGGATTTCAGAGCTGGGTAGGGAGCAAGTATCTCTTTTATGATGATTATTTTAACATATTTCTCCTGGAAGCATTAAAAAAAAATTGCGGCATGAAATGGAGCAGCACAATCCATTTGGAGAATACATTTAGAGCAGGTGTACAGGGCAGCTTCAGGCAGCCAGAATATGGCAAAGCTATCAACACGTGGGTAGGCAGGACGTCTCTACTAAAACTCCTGGCAATATCAGTAGGCATCAGAGGGCACCTGGAAGCCTGGCAAATGGACTGCAAGGAGAGAACGTATGGATGGGGCAGGGTAAGCCTCCAGCCAAGGGCAGCTGCAGGCAGATGGCCAGGACGGCACCGGAACAAGGGCCTGAAATCTGCATACTTCAGTGGGAGCTGTGCATGAGGAAGGACTGCTGTTTCAGGCCTACTAAAAGCATTGGAAAGGTCATATGAAGTAATGAGCATGTTGGCAAGGCAGGCTCTCTCATCTGGAGGTGGCCCGATTATTGGACGTCAGCCAACACCTGGCAGGTTTATTTATAGATTTTGTGCCATGGCCTCTAAACTATTGAGTTCCTTATGCTCCATAATGAATTAAAATCTCAACTTTTACTGTCCTTAGGAAATGTTATGAATGCCACTTTAATAGATAGAGAAACTGAGGCATTAACTTGCTTAAGCCAGTTGTAGGAAAGCTGAAATAGAGCCATGGACAGAACCCAGATTACTTGCACCCCAAGCAGTTGCTTTGAACAAGGGGGTCACTGTCTTCTCAAGCAAGGATAAAACTGCAGAAGGAAAGCACTTCCTCGGTTCTGTGCATAGGACCCTCCAAAGATTCTGCAGGAACGGTGTTAACGGATGCGTGATATTCGTCTGAAGAATTCAGAACCTGAAGTCAAACGGGAAGTGTGTTCGTCTACTAGCAAAACAATAAGTGATTTTCAGAGTCAGATTTATTTTAGGCCGTTTGTGCTGAAGTATCCTTGGGCCATCCAATATCTATTGAGCTTAAGAAGGAAATGGATTTTGTCTGTGGAACTTTGTCCCATGCTGTGAAACGTCTCAGTATCTTTACCCAAGATAAAAATCTGGACTTACTGAGCTGAAGTGTTTTCTCATATAAAACAATTGGTTCCACTAAAGTAATCAAGTCTTGTAAGACTTACTCTTGTAAAACTTGGGGTATGGCATTCAGAGGAAATGAAGGCAGTCCCATAACTGCAAAATGGAACTTAATATTTTTTTTCAGAGCAGCTACTTCCTCTTTTGTAATTTCATTGGAGAATATTTGATGAAGTGCACATATGCGGTAAAGGAGAGCAACAATAACTAAGACATCTCTGAAGTCAATCCACAAAGGAGTTGGAGATGAACCCTTCTCTGAGAGGAGCGGCTTTTTTAGCACTTGCGGAATTAAGCAGGCCAACCCAAGTGCACATTGTGGACAGTAGGAAACCTTCTGAACATATTAGTAGCTGAACAAGGTTCAAATACTGCCTTAAGTATGACTGGTGAAAGCATCTCGGCAGGTGGAGAAGCACCAGAGCATGAGGAAGCAGTGAGGCCAAAGGAACGACGGTACAGAAGGTCAGAGGAGGAACTGGGGTAGGGGACAAAGAAAGATCATTTCTGACTTGATGAAGAAAGAGCAAGTTCCCTACTGGTGATCACTCTGTGCTAGTTTTTACCATCACAAGGAATGGGAAGAAAAGATTGGGGGGGGGGGGGGGGGG